GCGAGATTGTCACCTTTGGACATGACTCCGGGCTGTCTAAGCACTCACTGAGAACAGCATCAGCAGTCGCAACAATACTTTGGATGATTCGCTTCCGTTCGCTCACAGCAGTCCTACGTAAATTATATGTGATTTAGGGCAAAGTTAGGTGTGCTCCTTGAAAGCAAAGTGGTCGGGGCAATGCACCAATTCTCAGCCTATTACCTCAAAGATACATATGTGCAAGGTATTTCATGTTCAGGCTTCGCCCTAACTGAGCGCCACCTCATTCGTTGTATTTTTTCTTCTCTTGGACTTCCTTCATTTAATGGATGCTGTAAGAAGAATGCAAAGTATTCATAAACTGGATATACCAGTTTGCAGTCCATTGGTACCCTCTAAACATATGTACATATGTACGTAATTCTCCTACAATCCTATATACTCGTACAACATGTTGTGTATGTGTACAAGTGTGCTTGGCTAAAAGAAAACACGTTTCGCATTTTGCCATGCGCTGGTGCACATCCATGGAGATGTTATCTTGGTCTCTAAGTCTTCTGCAGATGAAGATGATGATGTTGCTGAACACGATGATGATGCTGCACAACAGAATAGCTCAGCAAGCGTTGCAAGCGCATAAAATCGACATAAAGCTATATGCAAGAGCTACACAATCGCATGCACATACACACACATACACATATACACACATAGAAATATACATAGACGTATGCGTAAAGCGCGTAATAGTGCATTCACTAATGAAATAATACCTTTTTGGCGCGCAGCCGCTTGTAATTTTATATGCAGATAATCAAAACGCCACAAAGTTACCAGCTATTTTTAATACTTAATTGCATACTTTTGTTTATTACAAATGAGTATACATATATGTATGCATGCATGTGCATCCAAAAGCGACTGAACAGAAGAATAATGAAAACAAAGCCGAGGCGTTAAAATTAAATTTATGTCTATATGTGTGCAGAGAATTATTATTATTTTTGTTTTTGTTTTTTACAAAAGTTGTGAATGCAACACTGCATAGTGTTATTCAAAAACATTTACAAGCATTCATTATGATTCAATATAACAATGTAAATAACAATAACTACAATAGCAATAAAAGACAGAAAGGCTTAATGCATTTTACTGTGTTTATTTTGGGTCTTCCACACGCTTCGCTGAGTTTGAAAGTGAATGTTCGCTGTGCATGGCATCACAAGCCTATACTTATATAAATGAAGATGTGTAAATATATACTTATGTATGTGATATGGAAGCTAACACTTTGAAAATTGACAGAGGATTGAGTGGGGTCCAAGGTTTCCCCGTGCCCGGTAATAGAGAAATAAAGGCAATAATAGCTCCGATGAGCTCTCCTTAACTCTCTTGCATTCTAAAATAAAAACAAATAAACTAAAATAATAAGTAAATAGTATAATAAAAAATATGAACTTAATCTAATATTAAACACCATAAGATAAAATGAAAAAAAATTAAATTAAATTAAATTATACTAAACAAGCTGACCCCACAGGCGTTGTTCTGCTTGAAATTAAGTTTTTCTAAAAGCAGAAGGATGTTGGATTTATATTGTGGTGAATATAATTTTAATTTTCCGGTTTTTTTATTTCTAAATCTTCCCAGATCCACAATGAACAACCTCAGGAAATTTCATCCAGTTTGGTCTAGCCTATAGAACAAAAAAAAATAAAAATAATCTAAAATAAAATGAAACAAATAAAAATAAAAAATTCAAATAAATTGAAAAATAAAATGAAGTAGAATAAAAAATATTAAATTTAATTAGAATAATATAAAATACATTAATACAAATTTAAATTAAACTACATTTTAGTCGAAAAACAAATAACGATGACGGCCTCAATAGCCAAGCAGTCGGCTGGCATTGTTTGCCAACATTCGAAGAGCCAGGGCGTTGGTCTGAATAAACACCCAGTATTATGAAAATTAATTTTTCTGTTTGGTGTCGCCCCTCTGCAGTGAGTTTCCAAGCATATTTCTGACATGAAAAAAGATCGTCAAAAAAATTCAATCGTCGTACAGAATCGGCTTAGAATAAACGGCAAAGTGCAAGCCACATAATGGAGGAGGGGCTCGGCCGAAAATCACGGTTGCAAATGGCTAATTGGATATATGACAAAATTAAATAAAATAAAGTAAAGTGAAAGTAAAAATTTAAAACAACAAAAAAAGCACAAATAAAAAACTTTTTATACAAAACTAAATAAAAAAAAAATTGAGAAGTCGATTAAAAAGGAGGTGATGTCGTTCGTGATTTACTCTTAAGTTCGACTCGAATGTTGCATTCCCCATATCCTTTTTAAATCTCTTTTTTCAGAGAAGAGCAGTGAGGATACTGTCTTATTTCCTTATTTTCCCAATGAAAAATATCTCAATCAAATCTTTAGCTTCACACAGTCTTTAGTGCTTTTAATTGCCTCAACCATTGCGATTCTGTGTTGGTTTTTCTTTCATCTACAAATGTGCCCGACCTCCCACTTTGTTGGGGGTCGCTTGAAATAGTATAAGCGGCAAAAAGCACAAGTCAAGCATTGCAGCGAAAAATGCATTGCATGTTGCCACATTTTGTGGCATGCCACCTACCTACATATTTGCTACAACCAAGCAACATTGCCACAGTGACGATGGATGTGATTGTGTCTGATGTACTTACTATTGCATCTGTTGCTGGGGAGTATCGGGGCGAACACAGCAACAGCAATAGCAAAAACAACAACAACAACAACTGTTTTACAGTAAAATAGAAAGTGAAGTATGCGTACACCGCCAGACGGGGGTTTGTGGGAAAATGAGATTTAGCCGAATAAAAGGCAATAAATTTGTCAGCAAAACGCTGTCGCCGTCGATGGAAACAAAGCGTTTGTCGGCAAAAGCAAAAATTAAAAAAAAAATTAACATAAAAATAACAAGAAATTAAAAAATAGGAGCGTACAATCGCAAAATCAATAGCAAAACAAACATTTTTTCATTCATTCATTCATCCACTGGCCCATTCCTCGTCCACCAACGCAACAATAACACGGATAAAGAGGAAGAAGAAGAAGAAGTTAAAGAAAAAATTACACCATGCCGGTGATTGGTACCCGCTTGGCTTTGTTGTGGGTGAAACTCTCTTGTCTGCCACTACACACTGCTCTCCACTCCACTCTGCATGGTAATAATAAAAATAATCAAATCCATTGCAAATGTTGTATTATTCCACTGCTTAACATACATACATAGTAAAATATGCATGGAAATAGTAAGCAAATGAAGCGTGACGCATTGCGCCAGGCAGAGCATTGTTTTGTGTTGCCGCACCGATTCCGATTAATCTTTCAAAATTTTCACTACCGATATGCAGGGGAGAGAGGTAGCGCTCCAAAAAATGTGAATATATTCATTAAAGCGTCGTCCTATGTCACCTCAGGGCGAAAAATGTGCTTTGAGGGTCTCATACGCCGTGAATCGGTAGAAATTGGATAATCTTACTTGCTGTTACGTCTCGGAAGGGGCTTCAAAGAGACTATTTTATGATCTTTTTAGATTTTCCCTTAATACGAGCAAATCGTCGATAACAATGTTAGTGTTCTAATTCACGAGTAAATGTGACCGAAAATGTCTATTGGAATCACCTTCTTGGAGTACGGTCCGACTTTCACGCCTCAAGGAAATGCTGATATTTTGAGCTAAGTTTGGGAATCTTAAAACTCAAAAGATATCACTTCACCTACGTGTATAACCGAAAATCGTATGCCATTTTTAATTTCCCAACCATCATAATATGTGGTGTGTGTGGTTGAAATGCTTTAGCCACTCACTAAAAGTATTTGCGGTTATTTTTAAAATCTTGTTGACCCAGATTTTTCCCCACTCTCAGACAGCACATTTTATTTAATATTGCACCATGTCGGTATGCATTGCAGTGTTACATGCAAGTGCAAGATTTTTAAAAATAAATGCTCTAGTTTTTGGTGTTTTGGTTGATCATTCTGCCGAGAGTTGCAAAAGAATGCAAAACGCAAAATTTTATTTTTTCCACATTAATATTCATGTTGTCATTTATGCAGTATGTATGTATGTCCTATAATATTTATTTAAAGATTTTTTTCTACTTACCATAGCTGTTAGCCTGGGTTGAAACTACGTAGATCTTTGGAGTTCAAACCCCGCTTTGCTATGGCAATAATATAAACTGGCTAGAAAACTTCTCCAAAGGCAGGCAAAGGAGCAAATTTTCTTTCAGCCCTGAGCTACGGAAATGAATCAGCTTCTCTTTTCTGTTCAGACGAACCCTAAGCTGCCAATAAGAAAACCCAATTCGTTTGGAACGTGGTTCTCTGCTCTGGAAAGCTCTCGACCAGGTGTTCAGAGTATATATGGCCTTTTGCGTGGAAATAACTTTTATTCTCTAAGCCAGCGATTTTCCGGACAAATTTTTTTTTGGCGACGAGAGGCACATTTTGCACTTGTGGCTTTTAGATTAAATAATTGAAGAGAGGCCGATATACTCAAAAAACCATACTGCCTTTTACGCACTTTGGTCCGAAGAAGTGATTGGAACATGTCTTTATTGCGAGACACTTTCCGAGCCGGATCGTACAATGTTTCTAACGTCGCAATTTTTTGTAGGGGTACGCGAAAGAACACATTAATTCGGATAAACCGTTAGTTCTTGAGCTCTTGAAATTTTGAAAACCAACATTCGTCAAGTTATGGCTGAGATACCTCCACAGAAGCCACAGGTCCATAGTCTCAATGAAAGTATATGTCAAAGGCTAACGGCACCTTCGAGGACATTTCATGAGGTGGTTATTAATAAATTTTTTTTTTATTATAATTAATTATATAATATTTGCGTTATCAGTATTAATATCGATCAAAGCGTTTCATTTACTATAATAATTACATACATGCATACATACATACTTATGTGTATACATAGTTCCAATTGAAACTAATCAGTACTTTTTTCATTTATCACATTTCAGTTTAATTAACAACAACTGTGCCACAAAACTAAAACAACACAAAATGCTAACAAAATAAAAAAACACGAAGAATGCTGACGAGTTTTTTATGCAAATAGAAGGTAAATAATTTTTCATTCATTGGCTCACTTGCACTTTAATTTATTCTATGCCATCATTTATTCTAATTTCAATTTTCAACACTTTTCATTCTCAAGTCCATTTTCATTTTATTAGTTTGACTTGAAGGTATATATATTGTATATATATATATATATTTCATTCAATCACTCACTCACTTACTCAATTGTCGGCTGTCATTCTCACATTCATTATAATCAATTCAGCCCGTCCATCATTTGAGATGAATTGTCAGCCAGCCTGCCACGTTTCAATTTATTTATGTGCCACAATGCACAACAACAACAATAGCAACAACTGACATAATAATATACACCTACATGGATACTAGCATACACATGTGTTGTAGTCAAAGTGCAACAACACCAACGCAAATGTTGCAAATGTGACAAATGTTGAAAATAATGTTGCAAGTGCGTCACTAGTGCCACTGTCAGTCGAACAGCAAAAACACACACAACAACATCAGCAAGCACAGATAATTGAAAGTGTATATATGAATGTGGGTTTGTCGTAGGTACGAGTTTATTGTGTAGGCAATACAAATTATTCTACTAAACTAGATTTGCCGCACTCGACTCATATATGCCATACATACACGTTCGTATGTATGGCATATACTAATACATATGCACACATATACATGCATACATATAAGCAATGTTATGTAGGCAATTGCTGGTAATTTGCTGGCAAATTGTTAACGACATGTCAAATGAAAAATTACATTATATAAATATACACACACTCATACATACATAAATATATATATACATATATTTATGTGCACTTTTGTTTTCCTTTATATGTGTGTTTAGATAAAATTGCACTAGGACAGCCACCCGTAGACATATATATGTATGTATGTATATGCTTGAGCTAGTTATACCAGAAGTGCAGACTTATATGTCCATACGTGTATGTGTGCGATGTAGCAAGAGATAAAGTTTATTTAACAATGCTTCTAGTTCTTACATAAGCAGTTTAGACAATTCTTAATTTTCTTTCAAATTTCTCGTTTACTTAATACATATGTATGTCCATATATTACAATATATATAATTGACGCTTTGTTGCCGTAAAACGATTTTAAGCCGTACTTTTCCTCTAATTTATGGCATTTAGTCCATTAGGGTATTTGTCACAGTTCATTCTAAGCGGCCTTCGAACGTCCGATGGAACTTCATGAGGAGCTTTGATTTTCATGCCAGAAATACACTCGGAGAGCTTGACATTTTTTGCCGATATTTTTTAGTATTGGATGATTGGTCAGATCAGGACTCGAACCCTGGTCTTTAGAATAGTAGGTTTGTGCATGACATGTTAAGGACACTTTTCAGGCAGGCAAATTTTGGAATCTGGTCTGAAAAATTAAAAATTTAAACAGTTGTTGGAAATACGTCCTATTTATGCTGAAATTCCCCACAGTGGTGCTCTCAGCATGGCATACCAAGAGTTTGAATCACAATTCCCAATCACAATGAAACTGATAAGGACTGAAGCTTCGCTCTTCAGTAGATAGGGCACCATTTCGATCACGAATTGCTCTGAGGCAAGGCCAGCGAGACAGTAAAAGAAATGTTTCCAGAGGAGCTAGTGTCGTGCAGATGTCAAAACTGGAAATACCAGAGATAGTATTAAATAGACTCTTCCTACTCGTCCCCTCAACAGCTACTGCAAAAGTAATTAGAGTGATAGTCCATTCTTTTCCCGCCGTATTCCGGCTGCAGTTGAATTTACTATCTAAGAATGTCCCGAGATATTTAGTAGAAGTGGCTTAAAAGCAGGCGGTTTGTACCTCCTAAACTTTGCATACATAAATTCAAAATTATAGGAACGCGTTCTTTAGAAAATGTCAAAACGTTTATTCCAAATGCTCGAAAAACTAGAGGGAGAGGGAGGGTAATCGTTGCTCTGACGGTTGAGCTACTCGAAACTGTTTGAACAAAATCTTGAGCTCTAGTATGTATGTATGTGTTTAGTGTGTGGGTTAAAACAAATGAGAATGCTTGTCGGAGCATCTTATAAAACATGCAACAAAAACAAAAACAACAAAAGAGGTATGTGTATTATAATAAAATTGCAAAATAGCAAAAACTCGATTTACAAAGCAAAAAAAAAAAAAATGAAAAAAAGGAAAATTCAAAATAAAACTAGAAAAATGTTGAAGACTCGTAATAATGATGCGACATGTTGAACAGCATTTGTAAACAAGTTTATAAAATTCAACTGATAACACAATTGCGAAATATATATGTATGTATGTACATAAGTAGCTCACAGTGATGTATATATACGTATAGATACGTGTGTGTATGTATATCATACATTCACGCGTCTGCCCATTGCCCAGCTTGCACTACAAGTTGTCAGACACATATATGTATGTATGCATACGTAGATACATATGTAACTCCGAATAAGTTGATTTAAATTAAAAAAAAAGAATAAAAATTTAAAAAAAAGTATTTCAATGAGCTTTGAAACATACTAAGCCCAAAAACAACATCAATAAATTTTAACGACTGCCACAAAAGTTATAACAACAACATGCCGCCAGTGGTTAACACATGCATCGTTAATAAGTAGTTGCCGATTGGATTGCTTGGTGCAAGAAAAAAATTTTGTTCTCAGAAACATAATAAAGGAGAAGAGCCGTCTTTTTTACGCCTTTCATGACCATATCATATTTATGGTATTCTTTTTCGGATTAAATAATTATTCTCTTAACTGAAATATTGGATGAAGAGATATAGTCCTCAGGAGAGGAAGTTTTCCGATTTCGTTAATTTTCGGTGACAATGTGTTTTGTATATATATATTCAATACGTCCTTCCATTTGTATAAAATACATGAAATGATTGATTTCTTCTCCTTGATTAGTAAACCGAATCTGAAGTAGACTCGGTGAACAGAGTTTTTCTCAAGAAACTGGTGGTTAGTTTCCGCTGGGTCCCTCCTTCGCTTAAAAAAGAGAACAAAATCAACTCACATAGCGCAAAAATTAAAAGCACCGTTAATAACAGTAACCAGACATACATATGCATTTAGTAAAGAATTGGCCTTTGACCTCGTTACCATGCTTCACTGCAATAGAGAAGTCAATCGATCTTGTGTAAACCCACCCCAAACACATTTACACCAATGAATCTACTTTTGTTATTCTGTTTATTAGGGTGGTATGAGTTTTTGACAAAGAAAATATAACAACTTTTTATTTCCTCGCTTAGCTTCGAAAGCTTGAGTCTTAAAAGAGAGGACCCTCCCAGTGGTTACTGCATCGAAATCTTTCAAAGCTGGGTTATTCGTATCCACCCAGACTACATGACCTAGCCAGAACACTATATCACCGTAGTCATATATCTCGTACAGCTCTTTGCTAGTTTTTCCCGCCGTATTTGAACAGCTCTGCCAACAACCTATCGGCACCGCCACATTGTTCTTTTTTAAGTGGGCATTTGCTTTTTAACGTCTTCATAGTCCCACAATGAAACATCTTCTCCATGGTCATCGATTGGGAAATCGCGTTCACCATCCCCTCGTGTTCCATTTTCACTGCCATTCGGCCGGGTTGGGAAGTGTTCCCTCCATGAATTTACTCTGGGTAACTCTCTGCCCTAAAAGAATTTGTATTTAGTTTTTAATGGAATAAGTACTTCATGAGTACATCAAAACTCAAAACATATATACACACATCTACCTTGGCATGCTGCACTTGTCGCTTTGCTGTTGTTGTTTTTATTTTTCGTAAAACTGCTTTGCATTTCAAAGACATTTCAAAGGTACAGGGTGCGCCATCACACATCATGCACACTTGTTTGTATATCTTTCGATTAAATTAAATTTTCATTTCAGGTGTGTTAGACTAAAACTTATACATACCTGCATACATACAAATGTATGCCTATCCTATAAGTGTCTGTGTGTGTGATTGCATTTTGCAATCATTATTTTGCAGTTTCGTTTTCATTTGGAATTTCATTTCCATTTCATTTGGCATTTCGCAACCAACAACAACAACAACAACAGCAACAGATGCAGCAACAACAGCAACAGATGCAGCAACTACAATAAAGAAACAGTAACACAACAGTTGCTATTACAACAAAATCAACAACAAGAAAACAATGTAATTTGTGCTTGTTTGTTAGTTCATTTTATATGTGCATACAAAATTACAAATGAATGTACATACTCGTATGCATGCATCTGTGTATGTGTGTTTCGTTTATTTGGCTTGCAATGTGTGTTGTTTGTGCTTTATTTTGTCTTTTTCAACTATTCCCATTGCTGTTGTTGCCATTGCTACTGCAGCCGATGGCATTGATCTGCAATGTTGCATTTCAAATAGTCATTACAACAACAACAACAATAACAGTAAGAAATTATTCACCAACAGTACAGCAAATCAACTGTCGCGTTGCATCCATCCATTGATGAATGTGAGTGCCGTTGAGAGTGAGAAAGGCAAATAAATAAAACACAAACCAATGCATCAATGAATCGCTGGCTAATCACGACAGTGTTGCCTGGGTTCAAGGGACATTGTGAAATAATGGTAATTGTATTTATTTCACCATTTTTGTTTCCAAATATTCAAAAATTCAATTTTCCAATTTTGAACATAACCTCACTTTTTTAAAGTACCTATTATCACCTTTTTATCTTTTATTTGATTGTGGTTTTGGCGGAAAAAATGTTGAACAGAGAGTTTGTGTATTTGTAATAGCGTATAAATTTTCCATGATACCTTCGCTACGAGAAAGCAAAAAAAAACCGCTGAAATTTTAATATTTGTGATCCTGCTCTCGCCTCTATGAATTCACCTTGTGTGAAATTATTAGGAATAAAAGTAATATTGTTCTCGTGCTACACTTCTGCTTCAGGTGATATAAATATCTCTATACTATACAATGAATAAAAGGTATGAAAGTGGGCGTGGGGTCCGCTGTATTCGAATTTACTTTTACATCGTTCAATT